TAGAGCTATGTCTATCTCTATATCTATTNTAGTATATGNTACAACTCAATAAAATAATTTTATTATAAATATAAAATACACAGGAACACAAATTATCATCAATATCAGAAATAATCAATAACAAATATTGAGATTAAAGTATATACACACTTCATTCTTTCTCTTACAAATCTCAATTTTATTAGCTTTAGACCTGTCATTGACAAACATTTAGAAAAACCCAGAAAACCTGACGTTTGATTTCCTTTATAAAAAGTTATAAAGGTAATTTATTTTGAGCTCTATTAGCTGGTAGATGTGTCTTAATATGTTATCTAGCTGAAAGACATCTAAATATTTAGACATGTATATCTATTCAACAACAAAACTTCAGAAACAAAACATAAAAACATTTATAAAGTATTCATATATATCCTAATAAAACTCATGGTCAACACACAAAGTAAACAATCTTGGCAAAAATGAAACAAAAAAAGCACTGGTTCAGGGGACAAAGTTCTAATAAAGTTGTACATTAATATCAAAATTCTAAACGAAAGCCAATAAATATATTGAACCTTGTGAGACTTTTGTATCAACATTGTTAAAATGTAGAATTCTTCATAAAGTCGAGATAAATTAACACTTCTTCTCTCTTCATAATAAACATAAAAATATAACAAATTACAGTTGAGAGAACAATCCTAAAAAATTATAAAAACTACAGAACTAAAAAAGAAAAGTAAAATCTGATTCAGAAAGCTGATTGAATAAAAATTTCTGTCTAATATTTCTTATTTGGGATACATATCATTTTTCACATTTTCATCCAATCAGCATTGACTCAATTTTCTATTAATTGGATACTTATTCATTAAAAATTTCTCAATCACGTGACTTTTGACTGACAGCTAGCATTAGCTTCTAAGTTAGATCATATCACTGTAATAAAATCAACCAATCAGAATTCTTATACTCCTTTTACACTTGTAACATATGCAGTAGATTTTTTCTTATTCATACCCATGCTACAATCATTAGTTTTCATGGGGAGGGGCTTAGGTGTGCTACAACTTCGAAATTTCACTAGTTGTTGCACGGTGGCCATTTTTGGGGAGTGTCTTGGCAAAGCATCAAGGTCCCGCCCAGTTTTACTTAGCTTGAAGTCAAACCTTGTTAACTCAAGGTGACAACTTTTCAAAATAAATGAACTCCAAAACAGTGTTTATTTCAACATCTCATAAACAGTATTTCTTTACATAAAAGTAAATTTACAATTATTGAAATGTACTGGTCCGTTAAAACGTGTGTCCTTCAGTGGGGGTGGGGAAACCGAAATTTTCGCTTTTTTTTAGAAACAGGTTCACTACTCTCTTTAGCACTTATTGGCGCCTCCAAAACACTTGAAACCTGTTTCTGCAACTCGTCGGATTTAATTTTGTAAACCCTACACGCTTCGACAGGTCTATGACCTGTGCGTTCCTCCATGATGGATTGTTCATCTTGACCATTGCGGTACATTTCAGTAGCACAGGTCTTCTTACCGGAGTGGTTAGTGTAATTTCCGACTAAACCAGCTTGTTGACACATTTCTTTCATGAAATTACCTAATTTATCAATCCCAACAGGCTGCTTTCCGTATCTTATGCCATTCTGTAATGGCTTTCTATAAAACATTCCAGATTCTATCGCGTCTAAATAGGTTTTAAATACTGTATATAAACATCTTTGACCTAAAATACACAAATATAAGAAATAAAGGATACCAATTGTCAGACAGCATACAAATTTCATAATGCCATAAAAGTCAGAATGAGTAATTTTGTCAAAAATCTCGCATATAATTCCTACAGGCTACACTTTGATAAGGATACGTCATAACCTTGTGGTGTATGATTACTTTATTATACAGATTTAAGAACTCACCTCCGTAATTAGTACAATAATGCTTTTTATCTTTGTTCTTTAACTTCAAATGGGCTAGACCACCAGTAAATGTTTTGTTGTTTCTGCCTATGTATCGTATGTAATAACCATTTTTATCATTACCCAATTCAATATTATTTATCACTGCTAATTCCTTTTCTATATCGTCTAAATTTTGTGAAAGAATAATATCTTCATCGTCGTTATCATTAAATAAACACTGCGACATTGCGTCTGTACGTCGCGAATTGAAATCTATCAACTGATGTATACAGGTGTTGATGACCTAATTTTATATGTTCACCGCTCGTTATGCACGTGTAGTTTTTAAGAACAATTCACTTGTCTATACGTCACCTGTCAATCAATATGTTACAAGTATTTTATAGCACGTTTATTCGTTAAATTATTCAATCATACTTGGCTCCTGATTGGTGCCTGGCCCACTTCAATTTTACTAGTGTAAACGAAATAAAGCGAGCCAATTTAATCGGGGCCTGGCACCGCAATAAGAGGTGGGCCAGGTCCGAATCGGTGCCTGGCCCATTTCAATTTTACTAGTGTAAAACGAATGCGTGCCTGGCTCCGTTTAAAAATTCTTCTGCGCATGTGCAGGGTTTACAACTTACGTATCGGCGGCCATTATAATTCTACAAATGTGGACCTTTTGTAATCTTTTTAATTAGAGAGCACACGCTTATTTCCGTTTAAAGTGGGCCTGGCCCAGATCACAGAACGCCAGTGTAACAGACACCGATCCGGGACAGGCTCTCTTTATCGGGGCCTAATGTAAAAGGGGTATTTTTTCATTGAGAAAATTCTGTGAACATCATCATCTATTTTTCTAAAGAATTTAACCTTACCGTTTAAAGAAGAGCACCCACTTTTACCTGATAATTTCCAGATAAGCCATAAACGTCTAAGTAATCTCCTACGTTGTCTACAATTGAAACCAAACGTTTTACACAATACAATAGGATTATTAAAGATCAACTGAAAGAAGGAGTTATAGAGCGAGTAGAAGAGGAAACCACACCAAATGTAGAGAGTCACCATTATTTACCACATTATGAAGTAATTCGATTTGATAAAGAAAAAACCAAAACTAGACTCGTTTATGACGCCTCAGCTAAAGTTAACCCTCAAAGTCCAAGTTTGAATTCAGTCCCGCCACTAACACCCTTAATATTTGATATCCTGGTGAGATTCCGTTTAAATAAAATAGCAGTAATCGCCGACATAGAGAAAGCTTTTCTGAATATTTCCAAGAAGATCATCGTGATAACCTGAGATTTCTTTGGTTAGATCAACCGTCTAAACCTAATCCAAATATAAACATTTATAGATTTACGCGTGTAGTATTCGGACTAACATCAAGCCCTTATCTTTTAAACGCAATTTTGCGTCACCATTTGAGTTTATTTGAAGGAACTGACTAAGACTTTCTTGAAGATACATTGAAATCGTTATATGTAGGTGATTATGCGTCAGGTTTTAATTGTGTACAAACTGCTTTCGACCAGGGTAAAAAGGTTAAATTGACAATACTTGAAGGTGGTTTTAATCTTTGGAAATGGAACAGTAATTCTAGTGAACTGTTAAATATGATAAATAACAATGTTGAATTTACAGAATCAAAGATTGAAAACGGATTTATCGCTGGAGACGACCAAGGCTAATTAAGATAACAGTCCTAAAGTACTTGGAATATCATGGAATACTCAGTCAGGTGAATTTTTGTTTGACTTTAAAATGATAACACCTGCCATTAAAACAATAGACATTACAAAGAGATTAGTTTTGAGTATCGCCGCAACATTCTATGATTCCGTTGGATTATTATCGCCAATTGTACTCAATTTTAAATTGAATTTGTCAAGAGAATTTGAATTAGGACGATTCTCTCGATGAGGAACTGTGTATGAAATGGAAATCCTGATTAACAGATTTACAGAAGGCGAATCAAATATTAATTCCTAGATGTTATTGCCCTGATTTATTTACTGATGAAGCTGAAATTGAATTACATACCTTTGGAGATGAATCTGAGAATGCATATGGAGTCTGCATCTACATGAAATGTCAACACAGAGAACAAATCTACAGTACCTTAATAGCATCCAAGACTAGAGTCTCGCCTTTAACCCAACAGACCATGCCGAGGTTGGAATTTTTAGCCTGTTTAGTTTCAGTACATCTTGCGAGAGTATCGAGAAATCTGTTGATGGTATCTTGGTCATAAGCCGAGTAGTTTATAGGTCTGACTTACATGTAACACTTAGTTGGATACGTAATACCACCACAGAATACAAACAGTTTGTCCAGAAACGCATACATTATTGTCCTATACATCCTTAACCCCAGCTGATATTTGTTCCAGAGGAGCAACTCCATCTGAATAAATTAATAACCAGAAATGGTGAAACGGACTTTATATTGTTACCAGAGAGACAATGGCCGACTCAAAATAAGCCAGAATTACCAGTCGTTTTAGATGTCGAATTAAGGTCCAGCCAAGTGAGTACAGTCAGCCACTTCCAGTAAGAATTCCAAACTCTAAGAAATTATTGCCATAGAAACATACAGTAGACTTTAGAAATTGTTACGTATAACCGCATTCTCTTTTATTGCGTTTTGTGAGAAATTTGAAATTGAGCCAATAAAATAAAACACTTAACGAAATTTCAAATGAAAAATTATTCGAATCGGAGAAATCAAAATTAAAGGCAAAGCCAAACTTTAGAGAAACCAAGAAATTGCTCAATTTCTCGTTGTCGTGGACGAATGGAAAATAAATTGACTTATGAAAATAATTGTCCGATCTTGTTGCCGAGTGATTATCAATTCATTAAACTAGTAATTCTAAAAGCTCATGCTTATGTTATTCATAACGGAACATCGTCAATTTGTCAAAAAGATCTTTTCTAAACGTAACATTTGTAAACGATTAGAAGGTTGATCGTATAGTGTCCCGCACGCACCACCCTTGCCAAGTCAGTGATGATTTCGCATTCAATAGTATAGGAGTAGACTACGCGATTCTGGTGATATGAATAATATATTTTTGTTCCAAAAAGCACTCCATCTCCTTTATACTTTGAAAGAAATACCCCTTTCCAGAAGTTTTTAAAAACTATAGCATTACCCTTATGTTTGACTTTCATTTCTCCATTGTCAATCTTGTCTATAGATTGCTTAGTCCCTGTTTAACAGTTTTCTTGACTAAATCGACTTCCAAATTCTTTTACTGTGCCTAATATATCGGCTATTCCTGAACCTCGTGCTTCCTTTTTTATTGCTAAATAATGTCTACGTTCTTTAGAGTTTTTAGCATCAGCTACCTTCTTTTCGTTGACAACCTGTGCAATATCTGCAGCACCATAGCTTTGGCACCTGCTGCAGTAATACCAGCAAATATCTAAGGTAGGAGAGATAAAAATCCACCTTCTTTTTACCATTGTAAGTTATTATAGTAGGTGATCCTGTTTCAATAGCTTCTATTATTTTCCTGACTAAAGTTTCTGGTTTCATTTTTAAGGGTGTATTTTTTATTCCATTCTTATCATTCTTCTATCTGATATTTTAATTAAATGTTTTACTTCTTTCAATAATAAACAATAACCTGTTACATCTCCTTGTGTTTTTTGAATATGAATATTTATGTTGACTCCTGTTTCGAAAAGATCTTCTTGGTGAGCTGATAGATCAAAACAGAAGATTGGGTGATTGGGTGCAAAATCTACATATTCAAACTGAGGTGGATTTCCAAATAATTCACACATATTTTTATAGTTTCTATACAATTCATTATAATCCTTTGTGGATGGATTAATTGTTAAAGGTATGTATTCTTAAAATAACATACATTATTTTAATTAATCAGCCTGTATGTTATATTAAGAATTATGTACCTCTTATTGTACCTGTTAAAATTTAATGTAATGTATCAATAAACCATTTATCTCTTGTGTGTTCTTAATAATAAGCATTAATGTATATATAGTTTGCCCATCACTTCTTCTCATTATGTGACTGAGGACGACGGGCGAAACACGTCGAAACGTTGCATAAAATTTTACCAGTGATTGTTGTTCTATAAAGCGGTGTCTATATATAGTGTTAATATAATTACCTAAGTGAGATTCTGACGATACAATTTGTATAATTTTACCATTAAATATAACATCTTCAATATCAACTGATCTTTTATTATAACTGAACAATACATGTTTGTTTTTATCGGGATTGAAATTAACCTGGTATTCTTTTGAATATGCATCAGCTATCAATTTAATGGGCGGATGCCGTGAGGGAATGACAAGGGTGACATCGCCAGCAATAACTCCCACATACACATTACCAAAATGACAACCAAGTTACTGCTCTTTAATCTTAAGAGTAATTCATCGATTTATACACAAAAAAGAATGGGGGACAGAACACCACCCTGCTTCACACAAAAGCAAAAAAAAAGGAAACGAAATTGTAATATAATATAGAACATAGCGTCAAGTTTTACGACCCTTTAAGGTTTATTTCTTGCAGTTCCATATTTAGCTGATCGAAAGGTTTGGTCTAGATCTAGATGGTAGAAAGAATCCTCGAGAACTTGAGTTGTTATCCTTGAAAATTGCAAAAGACCTTTAGTCAATGTCCTTGTTGCTCGCGTCAACTTCGAGACTAGAATGTTGCTATATTGAACGGAGATCGCCATATTGAAAATAAAATAGTTCAGTCGTTTCCGTTCCAATGACGCAATGTCTATTTTTAGGATCATTAAATCGCTTAAAGGTTGATCTGAATGTGACCAGCTGTTAAAAAAGACATTGTATCCCTAACAGAGGATCACCTGTTCGAAAATACAAAGTTAACATAATGAGTTTGAGATTAGGCTGGGAAGGAACCAGGCTTCTAGGTTAGAAACTAAGTGTCTGACTGATATCACCCCGCTCCTCCACGATTGCCCATTTCCTCACCTAAATAATTTTAAAAATAACATATTCAAATTTAAAAATATTAGACAGTAGTTAAGCCTAGATATGAACTTCATGTTCCTATCTCTTCTTGTATTGATCATGATAGAATTTAATATAATACGATAACAGAGTTTATTCTATATCATATTACTGCTACTGAAAAATCAATGTTTACTTTAAAGATTAATTATTTAAGATAATATGATGACATGTTTATATTATATCAAATTAATCAAATCTTATATATTCATGT